CTATATTATCCGCATTTTACAACATTTCGCAACGAAACTTTGGAATATTACTAATTTTGTGATGCTCTTTTAAGCTGTGATGAAATTTTTGTCCAGATCAAAATTTAGTCTATAATGCAAATGGTCCATTTAACTTATCTGTCTAGAAACCTTCACATTGAAGGGTATTTCGTTTCTGATTTCAGGAATACCCACATCTTAAATTATTGCTTGCTGTCGGTGGCTGGAATCATGAGAATGGAATGGGAAAATTCTCGGCCATGGTGAAGACGGCCCAGAATCGTAAGATTTTTATCGATTCATCAATCGCATTCCTTCGCAAAAACGGCTTCGATGGTTACGACTTGGATTGGGAATATCCAGCCGGTCGGGGAAATTCACCCCCGGGAGATAAACAACGATACACCGCTCTCTGCGATGAGCTCTTGGCCGCATTCGAGGAAGAAGCCGCGGAGTCTGGTAAGGAGCGCTTATTGTTGTCGGCCGCAGTTCCAGCTGGCTACAAGACCATTGATGCAGGCTATGAAGTCGATAAGATTGCGAAGAGCCTGGATTGGATTAATCTGATGACATATGATCTCCATGGTAAATGGGACAGAAAAACTGGACACCACACGGCCATGCTTGGTAGCGATAAGCTCACTGTGAGGTATGGATTGTACACACCACTTATGTTTTAGTCTTTTCTTTAACGCGCTGCTCGTCACTGCTAAATCAGAGGGTCCTGAAGGGGTAAAATGGGAACTGGGATTTGCTCATTTTTGGGTGGAAAAATGGGATTTCATGCACTGGGACTGGGATTCATCAGAAAAAACCCCAATAGAAAATGGGAATGCGATTAAGATTTGAGCAGGACAGCCACTGAGATGATGGAATTTGTGCTCTGGGACAATGGGATTTAGTCAAAATTTGGGCTGGGAAATGGGAATACGACCCCCCTTCAGGACCCTCAAAACAAGCATGCTACTGCAAATGTGTGCTTAAACGGGTGAGCTAGTTTCTCCTGTACTTTGAGGGGTTTTTTGAGTAATCGCGCGTTCTCCGCTTGTATTCTAAAAGCTCACTCACACTCAATGAGTGGAGGTTCAATCTGAACTTCTCTTGATTGCCAATGCTGTTTTTGAATAGCTGAAGGGTTAGTGTCGTAACTTATTCTGTGACTATTCAACCGAGAATATCAGTTATCCAACTCACTTCAATTTGACTGACAATACGTACATGTTACAGGTATGCTGTGGAACACTGGATGAAACTCGGTATGCCAGCTCAAAAGATTGCCCTTGGCATGGCAACGTACGGACGTGCATTCAAGCTCACCAACCCCAACAATAACGGTCTGAATGCCCCAAGCAATGGGAACCCAGCACGGGGTAAATTCACCCGTGAAGCAGGATTCTTAGCGTACTACGAGATCTGTAAAATGCCGCTGACAGTGGTGAAGCAGAACGCCGCCGGAGCACCGTACGGATATTCTGGCAACATGTGGGTTGGTTATGATACACAAGAGAGTTTGATGAACGATAAGGTTGGATTAATCAAAGAGAAAGGTACGCATGCAAGACCAATTTCACAATACAGATGGGTCTAAATATACTCTTTTATGAGGGTCCTGAAGGGGGGGGGTCTCAATCCCATTTCCCACCTGAAATTTTGACAAAATCCCAGTCCCAGTTGGATTTTTATTAGAAATCCCAGTCCGAGTTATTGAAATCCCAGTCAATAAAAAACCCTTTATTCATCGGTACAATAAACAGTCATTTAAGTGTGTGCAAGTGGCGAACACTTTATGAAATATTGGGGGAGGTTCGTGCCGAAGGCATGGAAAATTTTTAAATTTGAATCCAGGAAATGGCATTTGCAGCATTCTGAGACATGCATAATCAGAAAACCCAGAATTTCGGGCGCCAGAGTATGCCTGTTCTCAGGTAGTGCTGTGAATAAAATAGTTAACAACAAAAATCATGACCAAAGACACCAAAAACAGATCAAAATTGTTTTTTAAAATACTTAAAACGTAGAAAAATTGGGAATCGACTCGCATTACCTCAATTCCATTCCCATTTTTGAGGACTTCATTTCCAATTCCCAGTGGCCAAATCCCAGTCCCAGCAACCCAAATCCCATTTTCCCAGTCTAAAAATAGATCAATCCCAGTTCCCATTTTACCCCTTCACGGCCCTCTTTTATGTGCATGAGCCTTCTTGGCCTCGGCAACTATCGAGGAAAGTAACTGAGAAACGTAAATAAAAGCGCGCATTGCATTGTGGTTTTGGTCTAGACAAAAATTTCATCACAGCTTGAAAGAGCATCACAAAATTAGTAATATTCCAAAGTTTCGTTGCGAAATGTTGTAAAATGCGGATAATATAGCCTTGCGAAATTTGCAATTTTCAGTCATTTTGTATTACGCATGGGAAATTAATGCCCTAACACCCGATTGGACTGTCAATTTCCCATGCGTATTAATACAAAATGACTGAAAAACGGCAAAATGGCTAGATTATCCTCATTTTACAACATTTCGCAACGAAACTTTGGAATATTGACTAATTTTGTGATGCTCTTTCAAGCTGTGATGAAATTTTTGTCTAGACCAAAATTTAGTCTATAATGCAAATGGTCCATTGACATTTCTAGTATACAGGTTTGAATAATGTAAATCATTATTAAAAATTTGCATTGCATGACCTGTTGCTATCATGGCTAGCTTCGCCACTGATGTTTTTTTACACTGATAGTCTGGCATGTCAAGCTTTAATCAAAGCTCCTTGTTAAAAAGGGAAAATTAAAAAATTCAATTTTTCCGTGCGCATGAACAGGTCAAACTTGTCGAGGAAAACTTTCTCGTCTGCACGTCGCATTAGTTAAGCCTGGCCATTCAGACGCAATAAGCGTTTACATGGGATTAATACGAAAGAAAAGGTCCTGCACATTATTATCATATTTATTCGTCTTGCCTATTTTCTATAGGTCTTCTGGGAGCTATGTTCTGGGCGCTTGATTTGGACGACTTTGCGGGCAGTCAATGCGGCGAGGGAAAATACCCACTCCTCACAGCGGTCACACGTGCCCTAGCAGGAGGTGTACTCCCACCTACGCCACCAAGACCCAGCACCATGCGGCCCAAACCCAGCACGATGCCACCGCAGCCCAGCACCATGCCACCCCAGCCAAGCACCAGACCGCCCAACCCTGGATCATGTCATAGCATCCCTCCATACGAAAGTGATGCGTATGATGCGTGGTGCATAGCCAATTGCGCCGCAGGATACTGCCCATCAACTCACTGCAAGTGTGATTGAGCCCTGTGGACTGAACATCTCATTTTAAATGTATGCTAATAATATGGTAATAAATAAATGCATTTGAAACCATCAGATTCTTTTAGTAAAATCTTTGCTAATAAATACCAGTTTTGGGCGATGGATCTAATAAATATCTTCCCATGTTTTGTGACTGCTTTTAAAGACAAAAAAGACCAGTATTTTTGTTTTGTTCTTTTAAAATTTTATTCTAAAGTTTATGTGCTTTATCAGATATAAAACACGAGGGGATTTGTGGCTATAAAGTATACCTGATTTCAGTGTACTTTAGTTTTAGCCACAGCGGTTTGTGGCTATAAACGCCAGCGGGTTTCTTAGCCTATATAGCGGATTTCAGTATAACTTATGTCCACGGCGGTTTGTGGCTATGAAGGATAGCGTATTTGAGTGAAAGGGGGTTTCAGTATACCTTGTAGCCACGGAGGTTTGTGGCTATAAAAGATAGCGAATTTCAGTATACCTATAATTATAGTTATATAACCACCGCGGCGTGTGGCTATATATAAAGGATAGCGGATTGCAGTATACCTGCTACCACGGAAGCTGGTGGCTACAACGGATAGCGGATTTCAGTATGTCTTATAGCCGCGGCGATGTTTGAAAGGATAGCGGATTTCAGTACGTCTTATAGCCACGGCGATGTTTGAAAGGATAGCGGATTTCAGTATGTCTTATAGCCACGGCGATGTTTGAAAGGATAGCGGATTTCAGTACGTCTTATAGCCACGGCGATGTTTGAAAGGATAGCGGATTTCAGTATGTCTTATAGCCACGGCGATGTTTGAAAGGATAGCGGATTTCAGTACGTCTTATAGCCACGGCGATGTTTGAAAGGATAGCGGATTTCAGTATTTCACTTATAGCCGCGGCGATGTTTGAAAGGATAGCGGATTTCAGTATTTCAGTTATATAGCCACACGCACGTAAAAGTTGAAGTCTCTTTACATCCTACTTATGAAATAACTCAATTTATAAAAGGACAGCATTCAGTTTTTGTATGATTTAATGTGTATTTGTTAAGGTTATTTGCACATGAAATTAATCATAATCTTAACGAGGATCTTGCTAATGTCAGTGAATGGTTATCAGCAAACAAACTTACTTTAAACCAGACTAAAACTGAATTTATGCTAATTGGCTCTCGCCAAAGAATAAACACTTTTCAATCTACTCCTTTATGAGTAATAAATAACGTTCCAGTTAAACAAGTCTCTCATACAAAATCACTCGGCGTACACATTGATGAGAACTTATCCTGGAATGTTCATATTGAGAAACTGAGTAAAAAAGTTGCTTCCGGTATTGGTGCACTAAAACGCATTAGACCTTATGTTCCTTTTACCGCAATGCAACTTATTTACAAGTGCTTAGTTCAACCATATTTCGACTACTGCTCTGCTGTCTGGGATAGTTGCAGTAGTTATCTAGTTAACAAATTGCAAAAATTACAAAATCGTGCTGCCAGGGTATTGACATCTTCTAGTTATGATACAAATGCCGATTATCTTTTCGAAAGTCTTGGATGGAAAAATCTTGTATCTCAGCGTAGGCTTACCAAGGCTATCATGGTGTATAAATCCTTGAATGGTCTTGCTCCAGATTATCTTTCTAATATGTTTGTTGATCGCAATAGTATCACAAATTATGCATTGAGAGACACCAGTAACAAACTAGCTTTGTCACTACCGCGTACTAATTACTTGAAAAATAGCTTTAGTTATAGCGGTGCAGTACTGTGGAATTCTCTTCCTACTGAGTTAAGACAGGCTAGTACTTTACATAAATTTAAGTCTGACTGTAGCAACTTTATTCAATAATTTTTAAATATTTTATCTAATTTTATCAATTTAATGCACGGCACTCATGAAAAACAGGTAGTTTTGTAAATATGTATAGTATAATTTATCATATATCTAATTTCCTTTGTTACTTTATCATAAGTGTGTAAAATCCTGATGAGTCCACCGTGACTAAATAAAGTTCACAATATATGAAATTTTGAGCGAATTCAACTTTTACGTGCGTGTACGCACGTATGAAAAACGCGTAACTGGAATGCATGCAGCCTTAAAAGCTGATTTCCACTGTTGCGTTTTTTCATACGTTATACGCACATAAAACTTTAAATCCATTTAAATGTTACTTATAGTCTAGGACCTGTATATGAGTTTGTATGCATTTCATTTAGGACAGATAATCTCAACTGTTTTAGGGTAAGTTGACCATGACGGTCAACATGGTAACGCTGCCCGAACCCCAATCCGGGGCGAAACGTCCGAAACTGACCACACCCAAAAACGACGCTTTCGCCATACTGCTATCTACCAAACCATAAAAGCTTTGGCTATTCTGAGGTGCTTATATGGTTCAGAGATGGTACTTTTGGGGGTGGTCATTGGTAAGTGTGAAATGCCAAGCACTAATATTTCACAAGAAAATGGCCATGCAATAATCATAGTTAAACGTCAATTTGTGGCTTGCAAATTCAGATAAACAGCAGTGGACTTACATTACCTTTTTCCCTAAATCTTTTTGATAGAAACATAAATGGTACTTATTTAAATATATTATCACTGGTTTGGTGTAAAATAGTTAATATTTTCTGACCAAAATAATAATTTGAAATGTGCCTACCTCCTGCAAATGGACGTATTTGGCCAAGTTCTCCACTTTACTCCGCTGTTTATCGGCGATCTCGTCGACATCCTACAAAAAATGTAAATCATCTCAGACATAATGGTATCAAGAACATTTTAAACAAGTTTCAACTTGGTTTCAAGTAGATCATACCTGTTTAACCATCGACAAGGTAAATCCACAACTTTGACCAAATTCGGCGCCATTTTGTCATCCCATGTCGCTTGTTAACAATTCAGCCTTGTTACTCTTCCATCCAAGCCATTTCCATTCCACTAATAATAAATTTAACCCTTTATAACGATAGGAAACTAAAAAATCTAAACAAAATATAAGAAATACGCCATTTTATCACCATGTAAAATTTTGCTCACGAGTCTTTCAAAACATTCCGCACAAATATCGCGTGACAAAGTAACAGGGACGTGACAGGAGGGGGTGAATTATTTCACGAAGATAGAAGAAGGCTGCGTGAAATAGACTAAAAGCTAAATACAATCATACAAATGTTTGTTTTATTTCTTGTAGCAACAAATATATACATATTATTATTTATTAATATGAAAAAGTCATACAAATTAAATGTTGATTGTTGGTTTTACCATACTGTGTGGGCTTTCCTTTCATTTTTCAAGTCTCTGCCCCCCCTGTCACGTCCCTGTTGCTAAACCACGCGAGATTTGTACGGAATG